TAATTGATTTTATATGCTCCGACTCGGATTCTTCTCTCAGATTAATCTAAATTTATCCTTGATTAGATCTCCATCCGGCTGACCCTGGTGGATTTATCTCTACAAAAGCTTAAAAAAAAAAAAAAAAAAAATGATGAATAAATAAAAGATGCTCAAGTAAGCTGGCATCATGCACACTAATTGATATAATGGTACTTAAATTCAACACGGCGGGGCCTCACCACTCCATAAAGTCGCATGCCCTCACCATAACGTTATAATATTTTATAATAAGTAAGCGAGAACATGGTTTCCAACCAAAATCCATGATCTAAAAGTTGAACTTGAAATTGAAAGCAAAACCTGATCCCATCTCATTCTTTTAATTATGAGTTAGTTACCTAAGGTTTCAACCTTTAACCCGTGGATATAAAAAAATCATTAAGTTAACATATAACACTAATCTGTTAACTGCCGTTAGGGCACATTTAATGGAATAAGTGATTGTTTGTAAGAAGACCTATCTAACCCTATGACGTTTATTACATTTAACTTTAATAATAAAGGCAACTTAAATACTTAATCATTTTATTAACCACTATATCCTTCTTAAAATTACAAAAAAGTGTTAATTTTTATTAACATAAGAACTTAATTGATTAAAAAATTAAAAATAAAATTTAGTTTTTATTAGTTTTATTCATCAAAATAATTTTTTTACCTATATAAGAATTTAATAAAATTAAAATTAAACATTTAAATTATTATTAATATTATATGTATCTTTTTTTTTTCTTCATCTTTCTTCCTCCCTTCTCTTTACCCTAAAACCCTAGAGATCAAACATATTGGCGACATTGAGCATAACTTTCTCGACAATGGGGAGGAGTGGACGCGTAATAGCCTTGAGATAGTGCCCTAGCGTCGCCATCTTACGATTTTTCTTTTTTCTTTATTTATTTATTTATTGTTAATTGGTTTGAAGTATATTTTTATCCTTAATTTTCTAAGAGTATCTCCAAATGACTCTTTATATGACCTAAACTCTTTATCATAAAGAGTCTATTCATAATAATAAGAGTCCAACATACTATTTATCTTTAAAATATAAATTAGAGAGTGAGTTTGACTCTCCACATTTAGAGAGTCAAATTTCACTCTCTATCCTAATTTTAATTAATAAACTACAAGTTTTTATGCATTTTATTTATTAATTCTCTCTCTCATTAAATCTTTTTCTTAAAAATAAAGAACATCTTCATTAAATTTAAAGAGTTTATTGCATTTTATTTATTAATTCTCTCTCTCGTGGAACCTATTCAAATAATTATTGATGTATGATAGATAAAGAAGTTATATATAAAGTAAAAAATAATAATATACATATAACATTTTTATACAATATTTCTCACAACATGATGTGGTCAAAGATAATTTAGTGAAAGTTTATTTTTAATTTAAAATCATCTAATATTTTTTATCATATCAGTTGTATGATAAATATTATATAAAAATATTATATATGTAGTATTATGCTAAAGTAAATTGATTATAAGAGTTGATAAATTTTTATTACTAATAAATGAGCTTTTAGGATATTAATTTTGTTCAGTTAACTAATATATAATAAGACCAATCTTATTTAAAAAATAAAAATCAATATTAATGAAAAAGCAATTTAAATGTTAGAGCTCATACTAATCTAACAAATCTGCCCCATTATATATTATTATAATTTGAAAAAAATAAATAATATCGCCGTAGATTTGAAAAATATATAAATAACTTTTGGTTTATCTCAGAATTTTTAGAAGAGATATTCAATAAATTCTCCTACTGTAGAAACAGCATGAGTTTCCGCAGTAGAGTATAGTGAAGGGTTCGGCGAAGGAGCATAAAACACAATGACAGGTGGACGGCAAGATGCATGATGGATCGAATCGAACATTGAATAATTCAAATTTGTTTTTATTAATAATTAAAGAGTTAATTACCAAACCCCCCCTAAGGTTTCAAATTTTAACATGTGTTAGAAAATATCATTGTGTATAGAAAATATCATTAGGTTAACAGTGACACCTAATTGGTAGTCTATGTTAATAAGAAGTTAGAGCATCTTCAATGGTGCTCTTTATTTTGAAGAGTATCTTTCATATAATTAAAGAGTATCTTCATTAATTTTTAAATATAAAGAACACAATTTTTAGTACATGTCCTAAACAAATTGCATTAAATAGGTTCCACGAGAGTATAACTATATACATTTATTAACGTATATTTTAAAAATATTTTACATAAATTAAAAAATAAATCTCACATTAAAAACTTTGAAAAGCTCAAATCATAAATTGTTATTTTATCATGTACATGTGCATGCTACGATACCAATGAATAGATCCACGTTAGTTAATTTGTGGATACATTTTCTAAAAACTAATTGGCTAATTACACATGTTTTAAAACAAACTAAAAAAAAGATAAATTCGTTCAGAAAATGATAGATTTAACTTTAAAGAAGGCAATTGAACAAATTTAAATATTTCATTAGATACTTATAATTTTAATAATATTTTTAAAACTATAAAATCATATTTATATAAAAATAATTAAATAATTAATAAAAACCGCTGACCATCCTTTTTTTTTGTATATTAATTTTCTAATTTCTTTAATTTTAAAACTATTTTAACATTATGAATGATTGTAAAATTTAGAATATGTTTTGTTTTATATTTCTTGATTATCTAGTTATCTAGTTATCTTATTTTCTGTTTTAAAAAATATTTTAATTTATAACAATTGAAAATATTAGAATATATTTATTGATTTTTAATTTTTATAATAATCTGAATTTTTAATGTTTTTTCTTTAAATATTTGTTAAGGGGCATTTATGTCTTTTTATCATTTTCCGTTAAAATTAATTGTAACTAATATAATTTTGTCCACCTTTTGTGTTTTAGAACTTGTGTCCTTTCCTAGATAGTTTTTGGACATAATGTCCGCAATTTTTTTTTTTTTTTTTTCTATAAATGAGGGTGTCTGGGCCAACTTATATGCATCTCAACTAATCATTCGGAACCTTGGAACTACCGGCTGAGTAAGAGCTTTAGTGGTTATCCCTATTAGCACCAGAAGAGGGGCTCAAACTCACGACTTCTTGAGTAATACACCCAAGAGTTTTAATCGAACCGCTCAACCACCCAGAGGCAATTAAGTGTCTGCAAATTGATAATACCCTTATGTTGATGTTACAAAGTTTTAAAGTGAAGACAAATCTTCTTTTGTTTTTTGGGAAAAAAAAAAAAAAAAAAAACAAGAAGCTTTTAAGTGAAAATTTCCAAAAAAAAATAAAAAGAACAAATAAAATTATAGTGATGTAATTAGCCTCCCATATTTATCTCTTTAGACCCTACTTATTATTAAAATTTTATCCCTTATTAAAAATTACTATAAGGCATAAAAGAGTTATACCTATTTAAGAATTTTATTTCCTCTTTCAATCATAAACATTAATTATATTTTCAAACAATAAAGACCAAAATTATGCAATTGAAAGAGTTTGATCAAGATCATGTAAGAATATAATGGAGATGAAATTTATACTTTACAATTGTAAGTTGCATTGTTAAATTTTTCTTTATTTTTTTTCTTTTGCGTTTCTTCAAAACTTATTATAAGTTAGTTTGATGTATTCAATTTTATTAATTATTATTCTTACAATCATTGAAGTAAAAACATATGCAAATGAATTTCATTTCTGCATATTATATTCAAAACAATAAGTATAAAAAATATTAAAAATATAAACGGAAGGGTATTTATGGGAGTAGGTAGGGTTTGTAAATATATTTATATATGCTTAAACATTTTAATGGGATAAACTTATAAGTGGGGTAATGAAAGATAAAATATAGGTACCAATAGCATTACTCTAAAATTAAATAAAAAAGCATAAATACTACTAAATCAATAACAATACAAAAAAAATAATAATAATAGAAGACATAAAAAAAGTCAATAATATCTCCTAGTTTAATAAATCTTAGATTAACATATCGTTAGCCTTTTTTCTTTAAAAAAAAAAAAAAAAAAATCTATTTCCCTTAATTATTAGTTTAGGGACGTTTATATCTTTTATTTTTTCGTTAGATTTTAACTAGCATTTTTTTTTCATTTAGAGAGTTTTGACATTTTTTGATAATTGTATGCGTTTTTAGGAAAAAAATGTGTCCTCATAAAACAAAATTTATTTTCTATCATTTTTTTTTTTTTTTGTTGATCAGGAAGTCCGGACCAGTTTGCACTCACCTCACATATTTTCTCTCATTACTTCATACATATATGTACACCATGTATTCCAGAAATGGAGTAGTTGATGTTGGGTGATAAATCACATCTTAACCACCATTGAGTGGTCTGATGGTAAAAAAACAAGTGGAGGATCTAACATGGTCTCCTAAGTTCAAGTTCTCATAGCCCCTAATAGGGGTGGCTACTTGCCCACCCCACCCCCCCGGACGATTATATTAAATTTTGCTTGTTTTAGCAAACATTTATAAACTTGAAAATGTACCAAAAGACAATAATGCTGCAGACACCAACGCTTTACACCAAAATTTTGCACCGAACGACGTATCAACTAAGTCAAACGAGCCATGCAACACATTAACAAATATTTCGCGAATGAATAACTGTCCATCAAATATGGACGACCGTCCATATTAGTAGACAACTGTTCATTTTAAATGGACTCCCGTCCATTTACTATGGACAAGCATCCACATATAATGGATGCCCGTCCATAGTTTAAATTAAAAAAAAATTAAAAACAAAAATCATGGACTTCAGTCCATATTCAATGGATGGATGTCCATACTAAATGGACGGGGGTCCACCTAAAATGGACACCCGTCCATAGTTTAAATTAAAAAAAAAAAAATTAAAACAAAAGTCATTGACATCCGTCCATATTTCAACAAGCTGCTTTTCAAGCTCACCCATCAGATGATGGCACATTCCTTATCCGCAATATTTCAATCTGGTAGCAACTAATGGTATCTCAACAACCTCTTCAAACGCTCTAATAGTTGCCACAAAAACAATTTCTCCTTTCCCTTCCAGAACAACTGTGTAGAATCCTTGAAAGTTCTTGTGCCTCATCTCAGATTTCTTATTTAAGATAGGATATTCAACAAGATCTTTTCCTGTTAGAGGGTCCTAAGCTGGCTCAAAACACTCATGTATAACATCAATTGCCTTATTCAACTTCCTCTGATTCTCCTTTAAGACCTTACCATTCTTCAATAATCTCCAGGTTAAATCATCTACACCTAGTGATATAGGCATTCCTGTAAGCTTATGGATGCAAGTAGAAACATGTTCACATCTATCACTGTAAAACCAATTATCATGAGCATAATTTTTCACCTTAACTTCCCCTCTCCTCCTTAGACAACCTGTGTGAAATTTATGCTCGCATTGATCACAAGTGTGAACACTACCATCATCCAAAAAATTCTCCATTGTTTTCTCAGATTTCCCTCACCACAGATCACACAACAACTTGAAGGGCAAAACCAATCTCCGCTTGGAATCTCCTCTAAGCCAAGGCAATCCTTGTGATAAGTGGAAGGACATGAATCACATATGATTAATTCACTTCCATAGTGGCAAACATAACACACTTCATAACTCACATCTTGATGACTATTATCTTCCATCTCATCACACAACTTCTCTTCACCACTTGTCGATTTATTATTGCTCAATAGTTCCTTTTGACAATCCAACAAAGACCTCACATCTTTGAGAAAAAAATTAGCAACAGGCCTATGTTTTTTGCTACCCACATGGGCTTAAAAATCACTGATTGTAAACACCTTATTGAACATTTACACTTGATCCCTGTACTACATATCCACCCTTCACCCAAATTCCCACTATAACACACGAATTCCCCAGGTGTTACCACTTTCTTTTCCATCAACTTAGACAATGCAAATCTAAGATTAAACCTTGAAGTTCCAGGAATCACCTGCACGCGGGCTAGCTTCTTTTTCTTTTTGTTATGCCTAAAAAGTCAAGGCTGATGTGGACTCTCGTCAGCAAGAGCCAATCAAAATTCAGGGAGGCTTTGTGTCATCTAGACGTTGCCATGTCATGCAATGACGGAAGAGGTATGGTTCTCATCAGTGCAGCAGGTGAATGTCAGGCTTGCGAGTGGCTAGGAATCATCCACCTGCCCAAGCTCTACGCAATTTAAGGATATCTCTCATGCAAACAACTAATGGGAAGCAGGTTAGGAATTGTACCCCACCTGCTGGACTGCAGGCTCATGATTATTACCTTGAATCCTCCCATTATAAATAGAGGGCTCCTCTCTTATTTACGGGATTGGATTATCTTTAGTCCTAAACAACATATACACACAAACACACACACACACACACACACACACACTCTCTCTCTCTCTCTCTCTCTCTCTCTCTCTCTCTCTCTCTCTCTCTCTCTCTCTTTGTATTGTAACTCAGCTCGCTACATACGACCTGATTGTAACCATCTATTAATACAATTACAGTGGACATAGGAGTCGCTTTTGAGCATCCGAACCACTTTAAAAACTGCCTTTTATTTACTCTCTTGAAGCGGTGCCACCGCCAAAGACGCCTACAGGTCGCGTGAAAGTGCGAAAAAAGGGCAAAAGCCCATATTGTGCGCACTACAGTGCGCAAAAGTAAGGGAAAGCAAGTGGAATAGCAGTGGACCGAAGGGCTCTGAGGGACCAGCAAACACCGGTGGTGCAATGGGTAGAATACCCATGGCATTGCGACTTGGCGACATGTCGCAGCATGAGCAGTTCCACACCACGTCGCATGGGCACTCCCATAAAAGTACAAGGCAGGGAGATTCCCAATATCGTCAAAATGATGACCTCGACCGTCATCATGCGGGAAACCCCTGTCATCCACGGGTTGGTTCTGACCATTGCGGAGATTAAAAAAACTTCCCGAGCCATTCAATGCCTTCACAAGGCCCTAGCCAGCGTGTGTTAAGGTTTGTCGGAGCTTCCGACCGAGTTAAGGAAGTGCCTGATTTGCGATCTTTCCTCAACTGCAACATTGACGGTCAAACCCACGTTGCGGAAAGTGATCTCCAGGCAACTTTACTGCCTTAGATTGAGGAACTACAATGAGCTTTGGATTAGCTTAAGGCTCAGCAGAATGCGCGTGGGAAGGTCGCAGAGGTGTCTCCCTTTTCTCTAGTAGTTTTAGCTGCTTCTCTCCCATCGAGATTCAGAATGCCTGACATACAGACATTTGATGGGAATTCAGATTCTCAAGATCACCTTTACGAGTTCAATGACCTCATGGAACTCCACCAAGTCTCTGATTTGGCCCAATGTCGTTGTTTAGCACTAACCCTAACTGCCCATGCCAAGCGCTAGTTCAGGTCGCTTCTCATTGGATCAATCAGCTCATGGCATCAAACGAGCTCATCATTCCTAAGACACTTCCAGGCGAACAGGAAGTTCTCGATGCCACTAAGCTACCTGAGCAACATATGGCAGGAAAGGGATGAATCCCTCCAATCTTATATAGACAGATTCCACAGGGAACTCCACAAAGTGGCTCATACTCTCGAGGAGTCTGTTCAGACTCTCATTATCACGGGGGTTCACCCGCAGACTGACTTATGGAAGGAACTGCAATCTGAGGATGATGTTTCCCTCACTCGCTTCTACAACCTCACTGAGAAATATCTTCGAATCGAAAATTCTGTGGCCGCTCTTAACCATTATAACCTCGGTCCCTCGACCAGTGCTCCCCAGTGGAGGGATAATAGTAGAAGGTTGATCGTAGATGGGCTAATGACGATCAGCAAAAAGGAAAGAAGCAGCAATTTGAGCCCAAAAAATCTTATGCCCCAATTCCTCGTCGCGATCGCGACAAAAGTCAATACACTCATTTGAATGTCTTAGTGTCGACTATTCTGGATAAGTTAAAGGAGGCTAGCTTGCTCGAAGAGCCAGAGCCTATGAAGAATCCCCACTCAGACAGAAACAACAAAAAATATAGCTGCTATCATCAGGATAATAGGCATTACACCAATGAGTGTCGGGCTCTCAAGCAAGCAATCGAAGACTTCATCAAGTAGGGGCACTTCAAAGAGTATGTTGATCGTCTGACTCCCGTTCGAAAAAGGATCAAGAGGAACCAAGGAAGAAACATTGTGCTCGCAAGGTCTCTACTATTTAGGGAATTCTCGAGGCGCCCAAGAGAGGTATGCTCAGGAAGCTCGTCATGACCCTATGAGTGTAATGAGCACGACGTCGTGACCCGCTAAGGTTTGCAAGGAAGAGGAGATCACCTTCTCTGAGAAAGACGCAGTGCAACTGCATCATCCCCATGAGAATGCACTCGTCATCGCGTCTGAAATAGGTCGGTGCGAAGTCCACAGAATGTTGGTGGACAATAGAAGTGTTGTAAATATCCTATTTCAATGAGCTTTCAAAAAAATGCAATCGAACAAGGCAGACCTAAAGCCTGCCTCTATCCCTCTCTATGGTTTTACTGGGGATCATTTGATTCTTAGGGGAACGATCTCACTCCCGATCACGTTGAGTGAAACCAATGAAATGACCGAAATGACAAAGTTTTTGGTGGTGGACTGTCTGTTCGCCTTTAATGGCATTCTGGGATGACCTTTACTGCAAAATTTCAAGGCAGTCACCTTTATCTACCATCTAAAAATGAAGTTTCCCACCCTGATGGGAATCGAGGAAGTAAAAAGATCTCAGCGCGAATCCTACGACTACTACATAAGAGTAGTGCAGATGGCAATGCAAAGGAAAAGGAAGGCTAATAGGCATCTTCGAGCAGGCCATGGTGATCAGCAGATCAAACCACAGTCTGACCTAGTAGAGGACAACATGGATCCTCGCATCCAAGAGTGCCCTCACAATGGGCCAGTTGAGGACTTATCTAAGGTGTCAGTCCATCAAAATGAGGTGACCCGAGTGTTGAGAATCAAGAGTAATCTCAACCCCTAGCTTGCCAAAAACCTGACAAGCTTCCTTAGAGTGAATGTCGATGTTTTTGCATGGACTCATGATAACATGATCGAGATCAGCCTGAATGGCATATGTCATATGCTCAACATTGACAGTGTAGTCAAGCCGGTTTGCCAGAAGAGAAGAGCTATAGACCCTAAGCGCTATGCTGCCTTAAAAACTGAGGTAGATTCCTTTTGAACGGGTCCATCCAAGAAGCGCTTTACTCGAGCTGGGTTGCCAATCCGTTCTTGATAAAGAAGCTCAATGGCAAGTGGCGAACTTGTGTCGACTTTACCAACCTCAACAAAGTCTATCCGAAAGACAGTTTTCCCTTACCAAGGATCGACCAACTCGTTGATGCCACCTTCGGGGCATGAGTTGTTGAGCTTTATGGACGCCTACTTGGGATATAATTAGATCTTGATGTACATACCGGATGAAGAGCATACCTCGTTCGTTACAGATCAAAGACTGTATTGTTACAAGGTCATGCCCTTTGACCTAAAAAACATTGGGGCAACCTACTAATGGCTAGTTAACCGTATGTTTTCTGAGCAGATCGAGAAGTCGATAGAAGTTTATGTTGATGACATGTTGGTCAAGTCGCATGTCGCTTCAAATCACATAGCGCATCTCACTAAGATATTCGACATACTCCAAAGGTATACTCCGAAGGTACAGCATGAAGCTCAATCCTCTTAAATGCTCATTCGGAGTATCATCGGAAAAGTTCTTAGGGTATATGGTTAACTAGAGGGGAATCAAAATCAACCCCGAGAAGATCTAGACTCTCCTTGATATGAAAAGCCTAACTAACTGAAAATAGGTTTAGAGCCTAAATGGGAGAATAGCGGCTCTCAGTCGCTTCATATCGAGAGCAACATATAGTTGCTTGCCATTTTTTAATGTGCAATGCTAGTTTTACAAAGACACATACAAAGAGAGCATACAAAGATAATCCCCACCCTTGATTTTCATGATTTCTCTCTCTCTCTCTTTCTCTTTTTCCGTTTTTTCTTTGTTTTTTTTCTTCTGGATGATGTCACTTTGTAGCCCTCTTTGTATGGGTCTTTGTAAGGATAGCATTTTTCTTTTTTAAGATACTCAGGACAACAAGAAGTTCGAGTGGACTCTGGAGTGTGAGCAGGCTTTTCAGAGTATAAAAGAACACCTCGGAAAGGCACCTCTCCTGTCCAAGCCTCTTCCCAAGGAAATTATACTCCTATACCTATCTGTCTCTCAGCATGCGGTTAGCGCAGCTCTCATTCAAAAAGAGGGCAAAGTTCAATGGCCAGTGTATTACGCGAGCAAGCGAATGTTGGATGCCGAGATGCGGTATCCAGAAATGGAGCGATTAACTTATGCCCTGCTGATCCCCTCCAGAAAGCTACGACCCTATTTCCATGCCCACACAATCCATGTTCTGACTAACTACCTGCTCAGACAACTTTTTTAGAAGCTGGAAGCTTCG